CCTTGTGGCAATGCTTTTCATTTCTGTACATGTTTCTCCCACCTCTTCATCCAATTCCAGCCTCTCCAACTGATTAAACATTTGCCTTGCATTGGYCATCTTGTGGAAAAAGCTGGAATTTTTTCCCCGGATTTAAGCCATTTAACCTWAGCTCTTTGCCTCCATTTCAGCTCATCCTTATAAGCTAGTTTGTCTAGATTCTGCTTAGCTTCTTCCCTTTTCCTCCTTTCCTGTTCTAACGAAAGACCAACCTCTTCTGCCAAATCCACTTCCTTGATAACATCTAAACATAACCTCTTTTCTTGCTCTGAGCCACCTTTGGTTTCATGATTCCAGCATTTCAGAGATTGTTTAATAAGACTGAGTTTTTTTGCAAAAATGAAAGAGCTTGTACCTTCAATTTGAGATTCTGTCCACTTGGAACAAAGCAAAGGGACCAACTCCTCTTCTTCAAACCAAGCAATTTCTAGTTTAAGGGGAACTTTCCTAGTCCTCTGATTTCCACAGACTAGCTGTATAGGAGTGAGATCAGAGACCAGCCTTGGGAGAGCAACCTGTTTTAGGTTTTGAAAAAGTATCCCCCCACCCAAGAGAGACCAAGAATCTATCCAGTTTTATCAGAACTAGGCTCTCCTGATTGTTTGTTCAAGTAAATTGGGCCCATAATAGTTGGAAATTAACTAGTTCAAACTAATTCACAAACTCCGCAAACCTTCTCATTTCCCTAGTTCTTCGAGTCCCACCCCCTCTTATCCTCCAAAAATCTCACTACGTTGAAATCACCTCCAATCACCCTAGGTAAGGAATTCCCACCTCTAGCTTCAGCAAGATCCTCCCAGAGTCACTCTCTCTCTCTCTCTCTCACTCTCTCTCTCTCTCTAGTTGGCCCATAAACATTTGTGAACTACCCTTGGAAACCCCCCTCAAACTCCAGAATCACCGAAACTGAAAACTCCCCAACATGAGAAGAAACCAATTTACATTTTAAATTGTTCCAAAGAATTAAGAGACCTCCTGTTGTACCTTTAGCATACTTTGTACCTCTAGCTGACTTGTTCACCCACCTCACTTGGCCTTGACCCCAAACACTTCTAATTAAACTTACATCTACTACCTCCAGTTTTGTTTCCTGAAAGAATACCACATCCAATTCCCACCTGCTTAACAAGTTGCAAATCATAATCCTTCTCCTACCTGACCCCAGACCCCTAACATTCCACGAGAGCACTTTTAATTCCATCAGCAAACAAACAGAAATGCCCCAACTCCTGAACTTACATCTTCTTCCCCCTTCCTCCCCTAGACGACCCCTCCCCCTTCCCAGCCTTTTCATTTAAACCCCCAGGATAGCTGCAACATTTCTCTGTTTTTCTTCCCTCCCAAACTCCTTTTTTTCCTTTTGTTTTTTCTTTCTCTTCTAACCATCTTTTCTCAATACTTTCCAAATATTTTATTGTTTCTTCTACCAAACCTACAATTAAGACCCCGAAGAATTTTCCTAATCCTAACAGCTTCAAATTCACCCATGCTGACATTTTTTCCATCCCCATCCCCTTGGCACCCTCTAAACCATCTTCGTTCCTACCTGCCCCTGCATACTCCGTAGGTACCAGCCTCAAACCCCCTCCCTCTTCCCTCCCCCCAATCCAAATCCGTACCTGATTTTCAACAACAACTGCTAACTGGGTTTCATCTGCACCAAGAGCCTTTGGACCTTTCATCATTGCCAGTGGGATTACCTCCTCCACATCCTTATCAGAAAACGAAGCAGCATCAATCACCCACTCCCCATGTCCTTATCAGAAAACAAAGTAGGAACCTCCCTCAACTGAGTACCTTGTCGTTACCGCAAGAGGTCTTCTCGCGTGCCCTGTCACCCATTGTTCTTCCCCTCTGGGTCTTGAGCTGTAACTCTCTCTGTCTCTACAAAGTACTAAGAGGAAGATGACAGCCAATTCGGGCCCTCTAAAGCCAGGAGATGCCCGTCAACCCTATTCCTTTGAATCAGGTTTGGGTTTTGGGGTGACCGGTTCTCAGCATCCTGATCCCTCCTGGTTGAACCCGACCCAGGAATCTTCTATGGTTCATCCCCTTCCAACAAAGCCCCTCCCTCTTTCTCTTTATTCTCCACCAAAACCGAAGCCCTTTGACCCTTCGCTTTACAAGACAAGCTGCTGGCAGAAAATCCAGTTCTTGTAGGCACTCCAGGACAATTTCCTTAAGCCACACTTAAGGAAGCCCCGACCAATTCTACCAATCATTTAAATTTTGAATTTCTTTACCTTTTTTAACCATCGCCCAATCCTTAATCAGACGTTTCCCAGGTGATTGAATGGAGCCTGTGTCCCTCCACAGGTTTTGGTTCGGGTGAATGGTACCCATACTCAGCACGGGTTGGACTTGTGCTCATTCCTCTCCCATCGTCTCCCCCTTCTCCATCAAGGCTCCCTCCCCCAAGCTCTCCTCTCCATCAACCAATACTACTGTCGTACTCAACACTGAATCCTCCCTCTCCGACTCCCTCCCCAAATCTTGATCCCCTATTCTCCCTCTGGCAAACCTATGGCCTTCTTTCCTGCCAAATGCACACCCAGAAAGAAAAAATCCCCTGCCTATATCTCCACCTTCCCCCGGGATTTCCCTCCCCCCCCCCAGGTGGGAAAAATTACTTACCCATTTAGGAATGGGTATCACTTACCTGAGTAAGTGATATCCAAGGGAAAGCAATTAACCATGGGACCCATAGTTCATTGAAAAGCGAACACAGGATTGTTGATCAACAGGAACCACTTTCTGATTGACCAACTCCTCCCTCCATTTACCAAAACACAAACGTGGCATTTTGTCTTCCATAAGTTAAAAAAACATTTCTTCCACTAGTGGTGATAGGGATTTATGGGATTTGGGTCTGAGGAGAGGGCTTAGGGAAGTTGAAATGGAGGTTGATGAAATTCTCACTTTTGAGTAATGTTTTCTTGGACCAGTCTTGTCCAGATGATAGGATCTACACAGCCTCACCTTCTTGCTCTTTATATTGTGCTTCTTCTTTTACTGCCCTCCTCAACTTCCCTAATCAGGCTTTCTCATTTCCAGCTAAAGACTTGTGGTTTAATATAGTGCCTCCAAAGATCAGGGCTTTTTGCTAGGAAGTAGCTCTTCACAAGGTTAACATTTGTGATGTGTTTCAGAAATTAAGGCCAAATTGGTGCCTTTCTCCTCGTGTTTGTATTCTTTGCAATAAATGTGGTGAGACAACAACAAACTTATTAATCTCCGGCCTATTTGGAATTGCTTTTCCTCTCTCTTTGGCTGTAGGTGATCACCTCCCCTTTCTATGGCAACTTTGTTTGAAGCTAGTTTCTTTAAACAACCAAAGAAGAGAGGAAGGTGTACGTGGAGAGCCACTAGAGCAACAATCTTGTGGACAGTAACACTCGTATATTTCAAGCTCAACAAAGTCCAAAGAGGAACTAATAGAAAACATCACTTTCAAAGTAGCACACTGGGTAAAAACAATTGAATTGTTCAAGGAGTTTTCAATGCAAGATATAATCAGGGGGTGGAATGCAGTAGCTAATTCATCTTCCATCAAGGCTGTGGTTCAAGAGAGTTGGTTCTTGTCAGTAAGACAAAGAATTAAGCTTAACTTTGATGGGAACTCTTTTGGCAATCCAGGACCATCTAGCATTAGGGGAGCTTTTAAAGACGAGGGAGGAAGGGTATTGGCTCTCTTTTTCTGGTCTGATAGGTGTGGGAGACTCATTGAGAGCAAAAATTATGTCACTTCTCTAGGGGCTGAAATTGGCCAAATGGTTAGGATTTCAGCTGATAAAAGTGAAAAGTGACTCTAAGCTAATGATAGGGTGGATGTAAACAATAAGTTTGGGGTGTGGCCTAACAGGCAGGTCATGAGGGAGATATTTCATTTATCAAGGGAAATTGGTGTTAGCTTCAAGTAGAGTAGAAGATCAGCCAATGGGATGGCCAATAGTTTAGTCAAACAAGGGGCAAATAGAGGGGAACTCTTTTGGGCTGCTTTGTAATTGATTTCAGCACTCTTGTCATGGGTGGTTAGCTGTTGTAACATCTATTTTTATTAATTGAAAATTACTACTTCCGATCAAAAAAAAATCAAAAACAAAAGGCAAATACCTTTCCTCATACATTCCATTATATGATCATAAGTGAACTGTTCTTGCTCTCCCCTTCGATCAACCATCACTTTCCTATAATCCTCCAACATCAATGGAGCCAAAGCCTTTGTAGGATACTGCATTGAAAAATTGAGGTATCAACAATCATGAATTCTGAATTTTCAAATGAAGAAAAGGAAGTTATGTAAGTTCCAGAAGAGTATAGGGCCATAATCTCAAAACAATAATATTATAAAGAGTGGTTATCAATTAAGTTCATCTCAACTAACACTGATCCCTGCCCGGTACATGAATATACTCTGCTACTGCATGCTATCTTGTGAACATTCTTCTGTAAAATCATGGGCCTTCAAGTCTATTGTCATCAATCCTTTTTTTTTTTCTCTTGATGACTATCTATTGTCATCAATCCTCCTCATATCCTTTCTAGCCTTCCACCATTCTTTGAGAACCTTCAACTTTCAACCAAGCACCTTAGTTGTCAAGATCTTTTTTTTTTCGGTTGGTAACTATAAAAACTTTGTTAGTTTGATAAAGAACAATTATGTACAACTATGCTAACCATCCCAAGAATTTTAGCCAGGCCTCTGCCATCAAACCCAATACCGAATTACCAACATGTTTTACATTCCTTCTACATGCATGAGACCCTAAAAGAATTGATCCCCATTCACCCCTTGTTCAGCTTGTACATCAACTAAACTATTTGCATGAACATGGACTCATGGAAATGTTTACAGAAAAGTATGTACTATTAAAATGGTTCATTTTTTTGAATTCTAACATTATATACCCGCAAAAAATGTTGCCTTTGCTACTAAGTAATTTTTGGTACACAAAATTGTGTGCATCTTGAACTATAGCTGTCTATTTATATCAAATAAGCTAATAGATAAAAAGATATGTTACATATAAGTGTCCTTAAGAATCTGTGCAGTGTTGAACTTCATGCATGTCTGACATAGATACAACATCCATTTAGGAGATTCTATGCAACAATGATGAGAAGGTAGAACCAACTTCCATTGCCAAACATCTAATCTCCCTCATGGTCAAGGTTCAAAGTAACAATACTCTTAATATGAAAGTCATGTATCAAGATTTTGAACTATTGAAACCATTATGTATTTTTAGTTTTTTATTTGTAAGCTCATAAATATATCAGGCACAACAGCTATTAATGATGTATTGTTTTAAAAAGTTCAAACTCTTCAGTAAATGAGCATTGATGACACTGAATCTATATGCATCATACATTACATTTCAATATTTTGAACCTTGTTCATAATGTGTCAATATTGCCATTGTCCCTGCCCATGCTTTTTAACCAGTCCACTACCACTCCTGAGTCATTTACACCTGAAAATTGTTGTAGTTTAATGATATCACCAATCTTCATCCTATCCATGAGGGTCTTGGGCTTCCCATCCTACACCCATCAAGATTATCTGAATTTGGTTAGTCATGAAGGGATGAGATATCTATCGTATGGACGCCCGAATCTTGTGGAATAAAATGGGCAAATTTCAAAAAATTTCTCTCCATCCTATTGGGAATCGTATTCCCTATTTTAGAAAAATCATATTTTTCAATGATCAATCTTGAACCATAAACCGAACCAGATCTGAACAAAAGCAGTAGAAGAGGAATATACCTGATACGGAGAAATAATATCTCCCAACGAAGGTGTTCACGCCCAAGGAAGGATCCAAAGACTACTCCCACTGAAAATGGCGCAGTGCAGGATGGAGCAGAATCAACAGTGTTCTTCCCAAAAACCTAATCCTTCACAAGAATTAGCAGGACGGCACGTGAGCACAACTTCCTATCAGTCCCTTCACAAGGAACCGATATCAAGATCCAATCTTGATTTCTCCCACTGAACTGGAAATCGAACTGGCAGTTGAGGCGGTGGTAGGAAAGAGGCGGCAAGAAAGAATTTCGCAGGGTTGCTGATTCTTCCTTCTATGATTTCAGCTCTGAAGAGGATGTGAATGTATATCTACTAAAAGTTGCCGCCCCCTCCTCCTTTTATAACTTTAAAGGGATCAGCTCCTAATCTCATTAGGAGGTTTCCAGATCTGAATCACATTTATATCTGGACTCTCTGAGTGGATAGGGTTAAGACCCAATCCAATCTACTAATCTAATCCCAGAATTCGCCCCTTATTTAACTGATCAAATCAGCCCAGTTCGATATGGGCTTTAGGCCCATTATGGTTATGTGCTCACTTGGCCTTCTAAACTGCTGCTCAGTTGGGCTTCCTTGTATGGCGTGGGACCCAAACATTGATCTACACATCAGTCACATGGGTTCAGCCCAGCTTTTGTTACAAGGCCTGGCCGAATACACTGTTATGGACAGTGCACCCCCTGAAACCCATCACATGGGCTCTATGTGCCCAACACTTACCCTAAGTGGTCCTTGGGCCAAGCCACCTTGTAACACCCAAGGACTGTGGGCGGATGCAAGATTAGCCCATCAGGTATTACCCTAAATGGTCTTACACTTAACCTCTCAGCCCATAATGATCAAACACTGCCCGACAAGGGAGGACCTCTCCCTCGGCTGCAAGGAACAGTGTTGCACTCTCTACTCGCATGGATCCCGGGAATTAAAACATTTTGCAAACGTTTGCAAACCATAATATATATATATATACTTTTATATCTCATCTAAAATATATTTTGCAAAACAAATCTCAACAATTGAAATCGGCTGCCGATAGTCTTGGTTTCCATCAAAAAGAGTGCATCCCCGATCATTACCTTTGTCCGACAAAGAGACTGATCCTGTCACTATGATCACCCACTCAGATGAATTCTCAAACTGTCCCAACATACCCAAGTTTTGACCCTCGCTAAGAATCTCACTGATTGGCATATCAAAGACAGCCCAATCCGACACCTAGTGCAGTATCATAATCGAGTCTAGGGGTCGGGTGTAACTTTCCAGTTTTGTCCATCAATCTCCAAGGTCCAGAGCAATACTGAAAATCTGGTCCGGTTCAAAGATTCAATTAATCCTACACTGTATGTGCCTTGGGTCTCACCCTAGCGGCTGAGACAGGCCACCCCAACAATTGGCAGCACACCAGTGTCAACATTGGCAAGATAAATCTCCCCAGACTTATCCAACGGCTATGAACATTCTAAACTAACACGAGTCTCATAAGTGTCTAGTTTAAGGGTATTACACAGAAACACACCACAAGAACATGAATCAAATATGTACTTTATTCATTTACAATAAATTCATAATGTACATCATTCTGATTGGAGCTAAGGGCATACAACTGTCTAACAAGTCATGGGATCCAAAGTATTAATGCTTTAGAGTTGACAGTTGGAGAAGATGCAACCATCTGTCATTCTTTAAGCATGTCATCTGTTAGAAAGAAGTAAAAAATGTCCAAAGCTGCAATCCAATGGATCACTCTCAAAAACTTAGTTTCTATTAATTCTTTTTTCTATCTTTCCTTTCCATTTAACATTCTTTGGATACTCTTTCCCAATGTTGTAGGAGTGCAGTCATTGTTGTCAAAATATAATTTCTAATAATGCTTCCTTTTATCTTTCCCTTCCATTGAAGATTCTATGGTTCCTCTTTTCCCAGTGTCGTGCACAAGACTGCAGTCATAGTTGTCAAAACCTTGCAATAGTAAACAACTAACAATTCAAATCATAAATCCCAAGTATTCCAATTTAAATATGTTTTTCTAAAAAAAAAAAAAGAACTTTTGATTACTGATTGAATCTTATGATTCAATTTTTTATATCATATGAATAATATGATTCATGTGATCTAAATCAATTCAACTAGTATCTAGTGCTATATTTTCTCATCTCTTTTTTTCCTAATCTTTCAAGTTGATTTTATTTTAAAATCATTACTACACTTTTTTTTGATAAGTGAAGGCTGGAAGACAGTCCAGTCACCCAATAGAACTCCACCCAGCAAAATTACAATTCAGCCCAAAACAATTGTTCCCTATTTATCCCTTGCTTGGCCAAGCGATCTGTCATTCATTTGTTGTTCTCCTTATCTAACCAAAGGGTGCCCCCACCTCCTCTGCTAAAGATTGAATTTCCCTGATTATCTATCTATACTCCCAAGCTCCTGGAAAATTGTTACTTATTCAAGAAATGACCACCTTGGAATCCCTTCCCCACCTCTAATAGTGGGATTCTAAGCTTCTTGGCTATCCTCAACCTGTGAAGTACTTCCAATATTTCCACTATAACAGAATCTCCTATTGCAATGAGACCTGAATACAGAGCTTTGATAGCCCCTATTGCATCTCTAAATACACCTCCAATTCCTGTTGGTCTTGGATTGCCTGGTGAGCTGCCGTCAAAGATTAGCTTTAGGCCCCGATTTATAAATGGTTCACATTCTATCACAGATTTATCTTTTGTCTTTGAAGAAGTAGACACTTTCTCCAAGCTCTCACCATTTCATTGACATTAAATTCTTTGAAAGTCTCTATTATTTTCACTTAGTTGGCAACCTTGAACATTATTTTCCACCACTCCACTTGCACTCTTGCTTTTTTCCACCACTGCTACCCTTGCTACCTCCAACATATTCTGCCTCTTTTTGGAGGCGGCCTCAGGAAATGGACTAAAAACTTACAAGAAACAGAAACATTTCATCAATTAAATTTACAAGAAATATAAAATTTTGAAGAACCCCCAAAGACTCACCATTAGACTTACATAGTACACACCAATCACCAATACAGAGACATATACCAATTAGGCCTCCTTGCTTGCAATAAATCACTAGTGTTCATACATTCATGAAAAACTTCCCACAGAGAACCCTAATTTTAGAAGGTATAGAATTACACCAAACCTCTTTAACTGGAAAGGATTACAGATCCTAGGAAGAGGGGACTAAGGTTTTGAAGAAAGAGGCACACGAGAAGAACCCAGAAGCATGAGGAGTCCAAATATAGCAATCTTCTTTTCCAGGCTCAAGGTAAATCCATCCAAAATACCCAACAAATTGGAGAGCAGTAAAATTTCAGAATCTCTAAGATTTCTCCTAAAACCCAGATTCCAATCAAACCTTTGAGGAGAATTTGGAATCACAATAAAATCAGCAATGGGCTTACCCTTAGAAGAAGAAAGAGAGAAAGATGAAGGAAAAAGATCCTTTAGAGGCAATTCCCCAACTGACAAATTCAACATGCCACTTATTAGGGCTATCCCTAAGTTCCCAATAATGCATTCATTTAAAATACTACCCTTTCTAGTCACACAACCAATCCATCAGAGCAATTAGCATCCTAATATGAGCTGCTCATCTACAAACGTGTACTTATTGATTCCCAACATTCTGCCCCATAAAACATGTCTGGTCGTAAAATTATCTCTTTTTATAGATTTAAGGAAATGTCTATTTGTTATAAACACAAAGATCATAAAAAACTTGGGTTAACTCAAAAAGCAAAAAAAAGGCATAAAAATTGAAGACAAATACAAAGATAAAAGTTATTGGAATTCATAAAATAATTACAAGTGTTTTCAACATGGGGTTGAATTGGCTGGTTGGACCAGTCTACCCATCTGGTTATGATTTTGGGCTATGATTTCGGGCAATTCAACCAGATGGGTCATCTGGCTATGATTTCGGGCCCATTTCACCCCCAAACTGTTCACCTACGAAAAAACTGTTGACTCAGTCAATGGCCTGATAACCCATCTGGTTGAATTGCTGAATCATTTAATCCTTCCTTAATCTTTGTCCTTCCACCTTAAAATGAGTTCACTTCATTTCCATTTCTCTTCTTTTCTCATATAAATGTGCTTGTCTTCGAGTTATCTCTATCAAAAAACTACATAAATTTTTCAGAAACTGTATCTCTAAGGTTTCATTTTTATCTTCGTAGTATTAAAAGATTTTTAAACAGAGATAAAGATGACCATTGTTCCTATTTAACACGATTAACATTATGCAGAACTACAATTTCCCGTTAAATACCATCGATACATGATTAGCACCATCAGATTACAGCCACATTAGTCGAGTGGAAACCTAAATATAAATAACAAAAAAAGCCTATAAAAAGAACTCACAGTCATGTAAACCGGGCCCCGATATCCACAGACCTCCGTGAAGTAAGGAAGGGCTCCCACATGATCCAGATGACTGCAAAGGTTGAGTTAAATAGATTGAATAGGATATATATAGAGTTATAGACTCTGCTTGTCTGTGTGCATGTGTTGTTCTGTTTGTTTGTTTGTATGAGAGAGAGAGAGAGAGAGAGAGAGAGAGAGAGGTTTCATACAAATGAGTGATTATGATGCAGGTAAGAGCATTATCGAAATCCCCGGATTCAGAGATAAGAGAGAAATCTGGGTATCGTCGTTCATCGAGATACCCCATGTGCATCCCACAATCAAACATGATCCTCTTCCCGCCAATTGAGACCACGACACAGCTCTTCCCAACTTCCTGCCCGGCCCCTGAAAGTGGGGAATTTCGACTTCTTCACTCAATAAATATCAAAGAATAAGAATCCATTGGGAAGACAGAGAAATTGGATAGAAGAACTAACCCAGAACAAGGCATTCAATAGTCATGGCTTCTCTGCAACTGATAAATCGTCGGGGGCCTGCTGCAACCGAAAAAACGCAGATACTGTGTGCTATGCTATCACTCGAGGGCCTTGACCGTTCCTGCACGGACCGTTGACAGTTGGCACCACCGAGCAATGATGGAATGGCATCAAAGCGTCATTACTGTTTAACCGATAACCGGAGTTGTTCTTGCTCTCCTTGCATCAGTCAAGCGCCAAACCCTAGTCAGATTTCTTCGCGCGCTTTATTTGATTTTAGAAAGACTGGCGATGTTAGCGGTGACCGTCTGTGAGCCAGTTGTGTAATTTCATGTTTAATTTTTATATTGAAATTGAAATTTTAAAGCGAAAAAAACACATTTTAGCTAGGCCCGTAAACGAAGCGAATTCGAATCAAATCAGGCCATGTTCGAATTGGACTCTAATTATAAAATAACTTATTCGAATTCGATTTGAAATCCATCGGATATTTATAAATTTCAATTGAATTCAATTTCAATTAAAATATTAAATATTTGAATGGATTCGGTTTGGATTGATTTTATAAATACTAAAAATTTTAAATTTAGAAATTAGATTACACAAGAATAAATCCTTCTGTTATGGCTTGTGAGCAAAAAACAAAATCTAAAAATAAAAAAGAGAGATAAAGAAGTAACAAAGAAGGGTGAGATTTGAATGGAAGAAGTTTAAAGAACACCATGAAGTTCATTTGTCTTCAACGAAACCCGGTGCTCTTTTCTTTTTTTTTTCTTCTACCTCTGAATCTCTTATCACAAGTTTAAAACAGTAAAACAAAGAATGATAACACGACCATGACCAAAGGAGAGGGAGATAAGACGGAGATGGGGAGAAACACAATTGTAGGTTAGAAGATGGGGAAAAGTAAAGTTTGTAAAAGTGAAAAGAGTTGCGGGTTAGGAGAATGGGAGAAGAAGAGTCTTGTGAAAGTAAGTCGGTTGTGGGGAGAGGCTCAATGAAGACAAAGGGATTATGCATATCTCGATGAAAAAAAATAATATAAAAAATCAATTGATTGTTGCATCATTTATTAGTTTTTGTCAGTTTTATGAAAAATGTTGTACATTTTTAATTGTCCCGATAATACTCTTACACCTTTTTTTTTCCTAAAAACGGTGTAAGAGTATTAAATGTATAAGACATGAAATCTTATATTACAATATATATATATATATATATATATATATATATATATATTATATTTATATTTAATCGAATTTGAATATTTATCAAATCGAATCAACATATATTTGAATTCGATTCTATAAATGAATTGATATTAAAACTTAATTCGAATTCGACCATTAAATTAATTGAATAATCCGAATTTGATTCATTTACATCAGATATCAAATTCAAAATTGGATACTCAAATACCATTTACACCCTTAATTTTAGCAAAGTAGTGAGGCAAATAATGTGTCTTCAAACTAGGGATTGCAATGGGGCCGTTTCACATAGGGTTTTTGTAAATTGGAGACCCTACTGCCAACCTAATGTAAATGGATCATATTTTGAAACCTTTTTCGACCCTATTCTCCATGCATTCAAAGGTAGAAACATGTTGGATTTAGAAATTGCATATAATTTCTCATTCTTGTTATATATAAGTAATAAATCACCTTAAATCCCTATCTTTTATTTTCTCAATCTTTTGAATTTTTAATTATTTTTTTTATTCCTAAAAAACTTCAACATTATAAGAAAGAGTCAAGTACAATATTAGTTTCCAAAAAAGGCAGAGGATGGTCCTCCCAAAATAGATCAAGCATAGTATTTTTAACCTCCCTAGCTATACAATGGGTGGGCATATTTGACCATCTATTAACATAACAAACTTTTGCAACTTTAGATGACCTAAGGCTCAATTTGAAAGGAGTATAAATACAAATATATATCGATACAAATACATACAAAATAATACAAAACACAAGGTTTTGCACATTACATATTTGCGTTTGTATTCCTTCTAAATAGAGCCTAAAGAGAAAACTAACTTTGTCAAACAAATGTAAACACTTCCAAAGCAAATAAAAAACACTAGTTGATAAAGCCTTCACCAAGACAGAACTATCAAAAGGATAAGCACAGATACACTACAAGAAATTTAACTTCTAGCAACGAACAAAACTGTTGTGAGAAGTCGTTAAAACCATTGCTAGAGAGCTATAGCAATGGACTAGCGACGGATACAAAATCAATGCCTCTTCCACCGTGGCAATAGGTTCTATTTAACTGTTGCTATAGATATCATTTAGCAACAAATATAGCCATTGCTATAATCTTAATCTCTTGCAACAAACATTAGGTCAACCGTTGGTAAAATGGTTATAGCAATAGATAAAACTGTAGCTAAAATAGTACAGAAAAGAAAATTTGTGGATATGTTGCTACGGTTATTCTCTAAAACCATTGTTAAATGATATCTATAACAATGGTTCATCATGAAAACCGTTGCTACAACAAACTTCTAGCAACGTTTATGATACAAAACCGTTGATAAAAACTATCTATAGCAATAGTTTATCATAAACATCATTGCTATAACCTTTCGCAGCGGTTTATTAAAAAAACCATTACTAAAGGACACCTATAGCAATAGTTCAATAAGAAAATCGTTGCTAAATGATATCTATAGCAATGCTTTACCATGAAAATCATTGCTACAACATACTTCTAGTAATGGTTACGATGCAAAACTGTTGTTAAAAGTTATCTATAGCAATAGTTTATCATAAACATTGTTGTTATAATACACTTTTAGCAGCGGGTTTTTATATAATCGTTGTTAAAAACATCCATAGCAATGACTTTTATTTAAAACCCTTGCTATAACACAATTGCTATAAACAGTTAGGGTATGTTTGTTTGCTCTGAAGTTTGACATTTGAAAGTAGAGGTGATCATAGTTCGGTTGAAAATGAATAACCAAATCAAAATTTCAGTTCAATTAGTTTGGGTAAACAATTTGGTTTGGTTTTTAAATATAGTTTTATTAGGATCAGTTTTTTTGTTTCCAGCATGCTATTTAAAGGTTCGGTTAATCAAACTAATCGAATTGTTATTTGTAAATAACTAGATAATTACATTGGCCATTACTCATTAGGGATTACCAGATTAGGACAAAACCCTCAATTCTTCCTCAGTTCCTCTTCGTCAATTCTTCTTGACTTCTTCTACTCTTCTCTTCATCTTGTCTAATCTCTATGTCTTCCTCTTCACTACTGAATAGTGAATATTGATACTCTTATAGTCTTCTGAATAGTTACTCTTCGTCTTCTCTTCAACCTCTCTTTGATCTGGCAGGTTGGCACCCTTCATCAGCAACGGTGGCAATGCCGACAAGTGATACTATGACGGGTGATAACAGTGACTCTACAACTCAGGTACAATATTTTTGTGTTGTTATTTTTCCCTATTATTCGTCATTAACCAGTCTCCCTTGATTCTTTTTCCCCTTTGTTACATACTCGGCTATCTTTGTTCAAAATCAAACAAAAACTATCTAACACCATAAAAAGCTAAAAGAAGATCATTAATTACCTAAAATAATCATCGCCTTCACCCATACAACTCCATAGTAGTTAAAGTCAACATATACAACATTACTTACTCCCCTCCTAAAAAAAATGAAGGCAAGTTTGCATAGGTTTACTTAACAGGGAATTGCTTAACACAGACCCCTCCTGTAAAGTAAACTTAGGGCCTGTTTGTTTACTCTGAAGTCTAACATCTGAAAGTACAATAATTACATTAAAAGGTATATTGGTATTGGTGAACTTTTCTTTCCTTTGAACTCTGAATGCATAGAATGTTGCTTTGAACTTTGAATTTTGAATTCTGAAAATTATCAAATATCAATTTTGACCCCATATATGAGAGTTTTTGTTTGTCTTTTTGGGGGTATCACTGGAAAATAAGAAATTATATAATTGCACTCTAAGAGATAAGAGATAAGAGGAAATGAACAACCATTTTTCTCTTAACGTTAAATGGTTCCTATTAAGAGATAAGAGTTAAGAGGAAACGAATAGGCCCTTATACATAGAATTGCTTAAAACAATCTGTACTCCAAATAGAAATCAATATTTGACTACATTTTCTTTGATACAAACAAAAAGAATATTAAAATTAAAAAAAAAATAGAGATTAATGCTTACCCAGGTTGAACATTGTTTTGACTGAAAAAAAGCACAATGCAAACTTGTGAACAACCCATATCTGAAACAGAAAGAAACAATTTTAAGTGTAATTTGCTTCATTTGAAACAAAAAAAAAGGTATGATGCGGAGACTTACTGGGTATAATAGATGGAAATGATTGTTACAAATGTATTCTATGAAACTCCTACTTAATCCATAGATATGCTATAACCAAGAAATGGGCTAACTCCAAGAATAACTTGGAATCCACTCCTTACGAAGCTAGGATTCAACATATATAGAAGGCAACAATATAAAATAAATCGAAAACTATCAAAAGATTGCTAGTCCTTCTACATTTCATAGATAAAGACTATAATTTAATAGAAGAACTTCAAGGTCTAGTTTTCATTAAAAACTATAAAACCTTGTTATGTAAATTCTTTCTTCAACTTCTCATCTTGATAACTCAAAAATTATGAGTTGAATTCCTGGATCCGCCATGACTAGAAATCATAGTGATTGAAGAATATTCTCAAATGGATTTGTAGTCTTAGGTTTTTTGGAGACCATATATGGAAGCATGTAATTGCTTATCAGTCAAACTAGTTAGCCATTTGAGAGCGCATCATTCACCTCCACTTATGAGCTTTGTTTCTCTTCATTAAACATTAAACTTATCATGTTAATAAACACCATGCCTCTTGTACATTATTATTTTTTATTTTAATAGGGGGTTTCGAGTTTGGACTTAACTTAATTGCTCTTGGCTTAGGTTGTTTTTATTTTTAATCACAGTTTCAACAGTTTCACCATGCAATATAAGCTAATTCATTCCCTTCTTGACTTTTAAGTGTGATATTATGTGATTAGTTTCATTTGTTTTTTAATTCTAATTTATATTTTCTTTGTAGATGTCACATCAAACAAGACATACATTGACTATTATAGAGGATGCGAGTTCACATCCCAAACCCTAAAGTCAAACTGGTTCGGCAAATACTACAAGTACAACCGCTAAATGAACGAGAAAAGCTATACAACCAACATCAGAAGTATGGGAACACTTTTCTAAGTTTGTTTTAGATAATGGTAAACCAAAGGCTAAATGTAACTAATGTAATAGGGAATTTTGTTGTGACCCTAA